GTCCAGTGGACAGAGGAACTGAGTTAATTCAGTTAACTCGTTAAATTATTAACTCTTTGTTTTTGCATTGGACCGTGTCTCTTGGTGATTTTTGGGGTTCAGAATTTGGGCACAACACAGTGAAGTGAAGAATTCTAAGGGCCTCAAAGGCTGCTGGTTCAAGATACATGATTGAAACTCCTGAGACCCTAACAGCTACGAAGCACATTACTCAGTGAATTAATAACATTGCAAAGAAGAAAGAGTAGATGTTTTTCTTTGATATTACTCAACTTCTCTAGGGTCCAGTGCTTTTTAGAGTAAAATTAAAATACTTTTGGAAGTGATAGAAAGGTTTTTGCCTCTGGGAACTTTTAAGAAAAACAAGGGTAAATTGTGTGTTCCTGTGAATATATACATGTGAAATCTTCATGTTGTGGTATTTACATGGATGTTTTATGTGCCTACACATATGTGGTTAGTCTGGTTAGTTTTTAATAAACTTGACACTAGCTAGAGTTATCTGAGAGGAGGAATCTCAGCTGACTAAACGCCTGCATTAGACTTTCTGTAGGCAAGTCCACAGGACATTCTCTTGACTAGCGAGTGATGTGGGAGGGTCCAGCCCACTGTGGGCTCTGCCACGTTGGGCAAGTGGTCCTGGATGGTGTAAGAAGGCAGGAAGACCAAGCTGATAAATATCATTCTTGTATGGCTTCTCTGCTCCAGTTCCTGCCTCCAGGTTCCTGTCTTGAATTCCTGCCTTTGTTTCTCTCATTGAGTGCTAGAAGCTATAAGCCAAATAAACTGTTTCCTCCCTAGGTTGCTTTTGGCCATGACATTTTTCCCCCTGCAGCAATGGAAAACTAGTTAAGACAGAAATTAATACACGGAGTGGGATACTAGTATGAAAAGCATGGACAAGAGGGTTCTGGAATAATTATGGAAGGAGTCTTGAATTTTTCCTGTGAAAAAATTTGGACTGTTTCATGGGTGTATAAAAGTTTCAGGAATGCTGAGAACACTATTGAATTTCCATTTTGCTTTGATCTGATTGTAACTGTGCCCTGAATCTCCTTTCTTAGAGTAAGGAAGCATACATATACATAATTATATAAATTGGATTAAGGAAGCATATATATATATTATATAAATTTGAGCAAGAAAGCATATATTTGACCTTTTACGAGAGCACTCTGTTGAAAGACTTTGGACTTTTAGAATTCTTGGAGGTTTAGAGTGACTGGATAATTTAAAGTGATTAAATTGTTAAAGTGATTTTTATTTCAAGACAGACTTTTCAGGGTTTAGTATATTTTATATTGTGATATTAACATTACCATAATATTTCAGGGATAAACAAAAAGTAAATTTTGTAGTTTAAGAGCAACATATTGGCAGGTCAAGTTCACAAGAGGGCAATTGCTTAGGGTAGTTATTTTTTTTCTAAACTTGACACTGGCTAGAGATCTGGGAAGAGAAACCTCAACTGAGATGTTGTTTCCATCAGACTGGCCTGTAAACAAGTATGTAGAACATTTCCTTAATTAATGATTAATAAGGAGGACTTAGACATATGTGGCCAATACTACCACTGGGCAGAGGGTCCTGCGTGGTATGAAAATACAAGCTGAGCAGGAAAGTAAGCATTCCTGCATAGCCTCCACTTCAGCTCCAGCCTCCAGGTTCCTGCCCTGAGTCACTGTTCTGGTCTCCCTAGATGATGGTGTGTAAGCTATTTTCCAAACAAATCCTTTCCTCCTTTAGTTGCTTTTGATCATGGGATTGTATCATTGCAATAGAAATCTAAGACGGTGACTATATATATATATGTATATATATGTATGTATATATATATATACACATATAATGTTTGTATGTATAAACAGAAGTTGGTGGATTCATTTTTAGATGCATTTTTTCTTTGCATGACTCTAAACATTGTAATAAAATGACTCATTCTCCTCCAAACTCACCTGAAGACTGTTTCCCATACATAATACATCCAATAATAAACCACTTGGATGTTCATATAAAATACGTTTGTGTGTTTTCAGCAGTGCTACCATAGGTTCCAAAGTGTCCTCCTTACTGTGTTTAAATAAAAAAAACCCAGTTGTTCTTCAAGCGTTTATCAATGTGGTTCTTTTAAATTTCTGGTGTTATAATGAACAGCACAAAAAAGCCACCCCCCCCAAGGGAGCAACCATGAGAAGCCCTTTGTCAGCAGGTATCCAACTTACATCTCAGAACAACTTCCCTATGTGCAAATCATGTCTAACATGTGAAGGAACCTTGCTGTTTATCACAATGAGTCATGAAAATTCCCATCAGACTACAGTCAGTTGTTTTCAAAGTGTGGTCTACATGAGAATGACCGAGAATGTGTGAGATGCACATATTTCAGACTTCACCTCAGGACTCTGAAAGCCCAGTGAACCATCTGCATTCAGGAAGGCTTCCAGTGACATCAGAGGTGCACAGGGGCTGGTGTGACACAGTGTTGTGCTAATGGAGACACTGTCACAAGGAAAAGCACCTCCTGCTCCACAAGCAAGGACAGTGAAGAGAACAGAAATCACAGGGTAGATGAAACAGCAAGGCACGTCCTAAGTTTTGATCTTTATGCAATTGGGGAAGCCGCTATCCAGATTTGTTAGCCATTTCTGCCACCCCTTGTCGTTTTTAGCAGAGGAACCCAATGTCCCCACTTTACAACACTGTGTTAAAAAGTATTCGTTCTTGGGTTCAAGAGCTCCCCCTTGTCTGGTCAGCTGTCTTTGTGGGTTTCAGCAGCATGGTCTTGACCCCTTTGCTCATCACTCCTCAATCTCTGTCACTGTGTTTCTGGAGTTCAGTTCAGTGTTTAGCTGTGGGTGTCTGACTCTGCTTCCATCAGTCACTGGATGAAGGTTATAGGATGGCATATAGGGTAGTCATCAACCTTATCATCAAGGAGGGGCTATTAATGTAGTCTCTCCACTATTGCTTAGTTTGCCAGTTGGTGTTATCCTTGTAGATCTCAGTAGAACTCTCTAGTGTCAGCTCTCTCCTCAAGTCTATAATGACTCCATCTATTGTGGTATCTCTCACTCCTCTATGAGAGGCCAACAAGGGACCGATCCAGACCCTATGAATGTAGTATCAGTTAGGAGGCCTTAGAAATCACTGGGGCTATGTGTAGCAGAATGAACTTTGAGAGCCCAATCCAAACAGAGCAAGGCTCTCTCAGCCTAGACACATGGGGAAAGGCCTAGGTCCTGCCCTGGATGAAATGACAGACTCTGGAGATCCCCCAAGGATGGCCTCACACTCCCTTGGAAATGATATGGGAACTGGGGAGGGGCTGAGGGGACTGATGGAGGGACAAGGGAGGAGGGGGTGGAGAGGGAGCTGGGATTGACATGTGAAGCACTCATGTTCCTAATTTAAATAAAAGCATGTATTGAGGGGAAAAAAGTATTCGTTCTTAAATTCTCCAAGAAAAACTCAATTATATTCCCATTTCAAAGACTTAAGTACTGTGAGAATTTAGGTAAGTTTCTGGATGTAAGACACAGGCATAATTTGTCTTTCTTCAGAGTTTCTTAAGCGTGCATTCAGGAATTCAAAGATCAGATATTCTATAGTGTTGTTTATATGATAAACAGTTGGATTAGGTGTGATGCCTCAGGAGTCTGAAGCTAGAAATCACAGGTCCAAGGCCAGTCTGGACTACCGGAGACACCATCTCCAAACACAAACAAAAAACAAACAACAGCAAATAATCAGTCCTAAGGAATTAATTAAACAATACCAGTTGCCACATATTTAGTCTGAGATAATTGGATTTCTGCTAAGATGGGAAAAATCCTTCCTGAATGATCTTTCCCCATGTCAGTGTTTGCAGCCTTCAGCCAGGTTCAGCATCCCAAACCTAATTTATATAAAAAAAACATTTAAATTCTCGAATATGAAGTGAGCATATTTCACTGGAAAAAGATGAAGTCAATGGAATCTTGCCAGTTTTTTCCTTTGGTTATTCTATAATTGACTTTGGGGTCACTTTGGGATTCCCAGTTCCTGTGATTTAAATGTGTCATGTGGGTAAAACTGAGCTTGTTAATAGAAATCAGAGTAAATCCTGAAATACGAATGAAACTAAAATGAATTAAAATAGTCTCTACCAATGCTTGCCTTGGTGCTCACACTGTAAAAGTAACCCCGATGTGTGGTACATATATATGTTTCACATTAAAATGTAAGTCTTTCTTGAGATTGCCCAACCAGTATCCCCTTATAATAATAAACTTAAGCTATGGGCCATAGGCATGTTCTGAGGAGCATTGATAGGGATGAAGAAAGGAAAGGGATTGCTGTGAATAAAATTTAGACACTTTGAAACAAACCATCTATTTTGTAATTTCCTTGGGAAACCTGCCATTTTGTAGTTCATTAAGGTTTTCTGGCATGCGGAGAAGGGGATGCTGTGCTGTTGAAGCCACGCTGAACAAGTGGTTTCTGAAGCCTGCTGCCTGGACCATCTTTACCTTGTTTGTCAGGGGAAAAGAAAACCTTCTGAAGGTCATCCTTTTCTCCCAGTGTGATTATGTTTCATTTCACTAAAATCAGTTAATTTGGAAGAGAGTGCAAATCTTTGAGAATGGGTTGGTTGCAGCCTCATCAGGCAATCAGACAGGAGATCAACACAGCTGTGGGGCCCGGAGCAGCTGGGAAGGAAGGTTCTCTTGTCAGGCACAGGGAGAGAAATCGTGGCTGTCACATGGGTTGATACCAGGAAGATTTATTAATGTATTCCTCCAAGAGATCTCTCAAATCAGTGCCAGACACTCAATGATAAATCAGCTGAATATTAATGTGGATAGGAGTGTGGCTGCTCTTAAATCTCCTCTTCCTTTGATGAAAAATATGATTCTCTTTGAAAATGGAGCGCATTAGATCTACTCTCTTACGAAATAACATATATGCGAGAGTGCCCGTTACAACTTTGTGTATAATATATTTATTTGCATACAGAAATATGTATTTCTATTATACATTTTATTTTATTTATAGAATATATATGTATATATGAAGCATACAGCATATTACGGGAAGATATATTAAATATACACAGAGTTCATGCTACAGCGTGCACCCTTTTAAGAGAAGCCTATTGGAGAGGCATGGCATTGTATGTACATGCTGAGAATACATGTTGCACAAGTTTATCCAGCTGCGGTGCCTTGCTAATCTATTTGCAACACCAGTGTTACGGTTGTTGATAGAGATCTTATCAAATTGAGGAGGGGAGCAACTGTTGATGAACTAAATAGGAGAAAATAAAAGCTGACTGCATTGCTGAATAACTGTTGGTATCAATTTTAAATCCAGTCTCCCCTCATGCCATCTCTTCAGGATCAAAAAGCAGTGAGTGGGCCAACAGCAGAAGGATGTGGGATTCTAGATTCCATACATCAAGCCAGATGGTTTGTCTTATTCTCTGTAGATTACTATATTGGTGACCTTGCCTTAGCACTTGGGATCTGTCATCAAGCGAATGATGAATTGGTCAAGAGGCAATCAGTTCTATTCTCAAGACATGAACTGACACTTTTCATACTCTCAGTCATTTCTGTTATAATACCAATCTGGGATATTTACATTATCGCCAGGAGGAGAACAGAAAAAAAAGGCTGACAGCTACTGACATTTCCAGTGAAAGCGAAGATGAGTCATATTGTTTCTTTAAAAGACTCTTCATTAGTTTGAAAAAAAAGATGTTTCCAGTAGAATCTGATCAGACTAGAAGCAGCTATGTTCAAGACAATACTGCAGCCTCTCAACTAGCGTCTGTGGTGCTATAACAGACATTAAGATGCCACAGTGTTCCAGGTGTGTGAGAGCTGCTGGTCTTACAATGTAGGTGTGGTCTGTGCTTATGTCTGTGAATTTCAAATCCCACAGTTACTGGGGGAGTGTTTTTGATAGCTGATGAGTACATGTTGCTTTATTCCATCCTTTTTTTTTTAAATGATGGAAAAGCTCCAGAAATCCCTTAATAGAAGCCAGTATTTCTCGGTCCTGGTACCATTGCCATTTTGAGCCAAATCATTTTCTCTGGGAGGGGGTGAGGAAGTCCATCTTGTGGATTGTAACCTGTGCAGCAGCATTCAAAGCCCCTTCTCATTACATACAAATGCCTATTCCCAATTGTGACAATCAAAATGGCTCTGCATATCACTAAATGTCCATGGGATAAAAATTGCCTCTGCTTTAGAGTCATAAAAAAAGCAAAGCCAGCAACAGTGGAAACAGATCTTTGAAGACAGCCTCGCTCCAATCATGTCAATGTCCTTCCATTAACTTCTGATTCAGGTAGAGAACATTTCCATGGTATGGTGGTCTGTCTCCACACTTTTCTTGAACTTGACAGTTTTCTCTTTTAATAAAGTTGTGGCAGCTGTGGCAAATTATCAGGCACAGAAGGAATCAAGGGAAAGATACAATAGAGATACAGAGCAAGACAAAGATTGGCTCATTGTGGATTGGGCTTAAAGCAAACAGTGATAAATACTGAATCCTGGCCTCCAAATTGATGGTTCCAATGGAAGCCATGTCTGCATCACAACAGTACACAACACATTAAAAATGAAAGTCGGCCAATAGATCATTTTTCTTATAGGAAACCAAGAAGCCCATTGGAATGAAGTTCTCTCCACTCAACTAGTTGAAGAAACAACATAAAAAATGTAATCTTAAATTTCAAAATTTGCATTTTAGTAATTCTGAACTAAAGGAACTACATCAACTTATTATACACTAATGTGCTTGAACCAATGTTATATTTTATACATAGGAGTTTTTTGAGGTAAAAACAACTGATATAACTCAAATAAGAAGTTATGTTCATAAAGGATAAATACATATATCATTAGCAAATTGCTTCTTATTAATTTACAATAGCTTTGTTGCTGTTGTCATACCCCTTGTCTCCCACTTGGTGAGATGCTACTGATGTACAGCCAGCCAGAATAACCCTAATAAGTGTTAGGAATTTATACTGATCAATTCGCCATGTAACCTTCCTGGGATGGATAGCAATGGAATCAAAGCTCATCAGTGAAAAGATGAACTTTGGAAAAAGAAATTTATAACTTTGATTTCTATCCATTAGGCTTACACTTAGAAAATCTGATTGGAAGACAATAACATATAATGGGAGAAAATACATGAAGACAAAATAACTACTTAAATGTGGATTGATATAATTCTGTATTTATTTAGTCTATCAAGGATGGATTTCCTACACAGACATGGTCTGTTTAATACTATCATTCAGTAATCATTTCTGTGATAGCTATCTATGGTCAGATTAGACTGAAAAATAATGGCATGACAAAAAACACATAAACTCTCTCATCAGGTTCTATGGGCATATTTTGCCTCTGTTTGGTTATCCTCTATATTTATGGTACAAAGATTAATATAGCTCTCCTGATTACAGAATTTTTAAGTAATATAATCTTACACAGATTTGAAGACAATTTGAAGAGCATGGAACATTTAATATTAGTAAATGTTTTTGCATGACCCTTTTCTCCACCCCTGTGTCTTAGTGTGATTATAGAAAACATCATTTGAGTATAATTTGAAAATCATCTGCTAATAGACATGGCATATAAGGTCTTTTCTCTTGGGACTAACACAGTAAACTAATCTTGTTTAAGATTCCAAATGAGCGAAGCAGCATTGCCTTCCTGCTGACAAAGTCAGGAATTTACATTGTACACTTTAAAATGGTCAGGTACATGGGTCAGGTAGGTTTGGGTTCAAACATATGCCCTTCTGACACTCTGTCTTCTCATCTCAAACTTCATCTGGCCTCGGTGAACCTTCCCCAACTTGAGTGACCATTTCCTAAAGTGATTAAAATTCAATTTTAAATGACTTTGGTTTCCCAAGTATATTTGTGTCTTAGGCAGACTAGTCTGTTAAAAAGGGTGAGTTCTGAAGAAAATCAGATGGGTGAAAATATTCCATACAAAGGAACCCAAGTGAGTGAAATCCTTAAAGGTTTCTACACCCTCAAAAATGCAACGACACAGTGGGAAGAGGCCAAGTGACCATTTCTTTGTGTAGTTGTCTCTGGCCAGATTTACGAGAAGTCCTACAGGTACTATCCACACACAATATAAAACCAGAAACTACAAAAATAGTAGAAAAAATAGTATGGCCTAGTTGGGTGGTTTTTGTTATTTTGCTTTCTTGCTTTTCATGTTGGGAAAGAAGAAGAGAGAAGAAAAAACAGTGATTACACTGAAATCCTTCAAAGAGCACAGCATAGCCTAGAAGACGCTCAGTACTCTGCAGATCATCTCTGCCTTCTATCTGATTTTCCTTCTTTATATGACTCAGTGTTAGGTCTGCTTCTTTATGGTTAGGTCTCTGTGTTAGCATACAATGTAGCATTTCTTCCTCATGTAGACACATGGGACAACAGAAAAAACAACAAACAAGGTTTCTCTTCTTGTGCAGAGACATGAACTTGCAGATTCGAAGCCCTTCTTCAAGAGAGTAGGAGACAGCACAGATTGTTTCCTAGATCCACAATTTCATCCCGTCTCTTTCATTGACTCCTATCTGGACAACATCTATAAGGTAAGAGCCCTGTATTTAGTTTTCAAACTGGAGCATGGGCATGGTAAGAATGTTATTCTAGAGCTCCTTAACTGCACATTTGTAGCAAGACTGGAAAGTGCAATGGCAGAGCACTATAAACAGACAGCTGTCTTGTCTCTGTTCTTCTTCCCAAGCCCTACTCGACCACTTTTCTTCTTTTGTAGAGGTCTTTTACCTTGTAGCGCCTATATTCTTGTAGTGACACATAAGGAGGTGTTTAAAAGTCTTTTTGAAGGTGGCATTGCAAAGTGCGTAGCAGGCAGGGTTGATGGTGCTATTGATGTAACAGAGCCAGTAGCCGATTGTCCACACTGTATTGGGGATGCAGGGTGCACAGAAGGTATTGATGAGCACCATGACATTGTACGGTGCCCAGGTGATGATGAAAGCCAGCAGGATAGCCAAGATTGTCCTGGTCACCTTCTTTTCCCGGGATGGCGGAGGCTTCTTTTTGGCAGGCTGCTTGGTCATCTTCACAATCTTGCGTGCTACAATGTTCTGCTTTTCATCCCCATTTTGACCCGATGACCCAACTAGTTCTACTGTGGTACTCGTTGGGGTGCATGAGTCACCTTTTTGGGTCTTGGTGACAATTTTGATGCATGTTTGCTTAGAGTTGTCATCTTTAGAATGGCCCAGGGAAGTAGAAACTGTGTTTTCATCCTGGGTTATTTCATCATCTCTCATATTGGAGGCGACAGCACTGACTGAGGTGGAGTCATTCGAGCTCTCCTTCTCTTCCCCCTGAACACAGTTTTCAGTCACGCCATCCCGGGGAGCCTTGCCGTTCTGGATTTTGTTGTGCTCCAGGCCACCATCACCACCTGAAGTGTTGTTGTTGTTTGGCTTTACAATTCTTCCCTGCACTAGACTTGGAGATACTGGATCTTGGTGGGCCACCGGTTCCTTCTTTTCCTTCTTTATCCTACTCTTACTTGCCCGGGATATGTGCCAATACAACACAGTCATGATGATGACCGGCAGATAGAAGGCTGCAATGGCAGTGCCAAAGGTGACAGCAGCATTGGAAAAGAACTGAATGTAGCACTCCCCCTCCTTTACAGTTCTCACCCCTACAATGAACTGCCAGAAGAGAATGGCTGGAGCCCAGAGGATGAAGGAAAGGACCCAGGCAGCTGCAATCATCATGCCCGCCATTTTTGTGGTCCGCTTAACTGGGTAGGTCAGGGGTTTTGTGACACAGAAGTACCTGTCAAAGCTGATGATGAGCAAATTCATAACAGAGGCATTGCTGACTACATAGTCCAAGGCTAGCCACAGGTCACATACTACAGGTCCCAAAGGCCAGTAACCAATCACAGTGTAGAGGGTATACAAGTTCATGGAGAAAACACCTATGATGAGGTCAGCACAGGCAAGGCTGAACAAGAAGTAATTGTTGACTGTCTGAAGGTGGCGGTTGACTTTAATGGAAACCATGACAAGGATGTTTCCAATGATGGTCACCAGACTGAGGGATCCAGCCACAAGGACAATAAATACCACTTCAAATGTCTTGTAAGGACTGCTAATAGCCAAGCCATTATTAGATGAGTTTGTTGAGTTATTCATTTTGTGTTCAGTAGCCACGCCTCCAAACAAACATTTAAACCTGCAGGGAAATAGAATAAAATTAACAAATGTAATATAAACATTGCTTCAGTACACAACAGATTACTTTATTTTGAAATTTTCCCTAATCATTCTACAGTAGCCTGAATATTTACTATATCCTGTCTGACCCACTTAAAAGGCAAAGACTTTACATGGAAGATTGAAAATGTTCTTAATGGTTGGCATTTTGTTTAAGATCCAATAATGTCATAAGTGACTTGATATACAAATATGAGTATCTGTCTATCTACCTATTTGTTTACATCACCAAATTCTTATGAGTTGAGCCGACTAAACCAAATTTACACTTAAGACTTTCCAAAACAACCAGAAATTTCTGGCTTTGAAATAAAAACTAATAAACCATCAAGAGATAAAATGTTGGGACAGAACATAAAACTGCACGTGTAACTTCTGTAGTCAATAACACCTTTCCGTCTGGCAGCTTGAGCCTTTTCCTTATTAATATTGATGATGGTGATGATAAAAGGACAGTATATTATCCAGTGCACCCAACCAAAGTAAATTTGTTTTTCTCATGATGTTTTAAAATTGTAATCATCTTCAATTAGTACTAAAATCTCAAAAATCCCATACCTTGTAAAATAATCATCTCTTACTATTGATATTGTACCAATTTCCCAAATGTTTTCTTTGTTTCAAGCCACTGTTAAGTCTGTTGTTTAACTAGTCTTTGACAAACCTTCCATTATGCTGAAGAGAAAGCTATGACCCATAAGGTTTTAGAAAGTAATGCAGTGTCACCTATCAAGTCAGTGATAGGCATACTACATTATTTTCAGTTTTTCTTGTTTACAAATTATAAAAGAAAATGAAGTTTTCTGTCTCTCAAATGTGTGTTTCCCCAGTAAGTATTAAGAGCTACAGAAAGTCTTTACTATATATTGTATCATTTATTCCAAGCTCTGAGAAACGATGTTTCACACAGTTCAATATTGATGCAGTTGAGGGTGTCATGGCTTGCTTTTATCTTATGTGTTGTTAACTTTACTGGTTGATGAGTCATGAGGCAGTCTGTCCTTCAGAATTCTATGCGTTAATATCCCACCTCCTGGGAGCTGAGAGCAAGTTGCTCAGACATTGAGCCCATTTCCATTTCCCCCCTTCAGTCCGATTTTCCTTTGAGCTCAGACATTGTGAGTCAGTGTGGGTAACCCTCCTTCCTTGCCAACTCCTGAATCTCCCTGTGGCAGCAGTTGCAGTGGGGATGGCCACACGAAAGCCCTCCTTCTCTCTGTTCCAGATGTCTTCTGAAAGACTGGTGTGAGCGGGTCCTCAAATGGTGTCAGAGGCTGTGGGTGTGGAAGTAAAGAGGGAATGGGAACCCAAAGAAAATAGGGCATGTTCTGGTCCACTAGGTATTTCTAATCTAGGAGAGACAGGGACTGCTGAAGAGGCTCACCGGGTACCTACCAAAAAGGATAGATGTGAGGCCAGGTGCCAAGGCATAAATGATCTTGGAAGAAGGTTGGCCAGAATGGAGAGAAATAAATATAGTCGGTTCCTTGGTACATCTTCCGTAAATATCCTTGGCTCATCTCCCTCTCCCTTTGTTTCCTTCCTCTCATTCACGCTGCCTGACTCTTTTTCCTTTCGTTTTTCCACGTTATGTAACATCACATTTTTCTTGGAGAAGTGTGGTTTAGTGATGTGGGGCCACTGCTCTAGGACTTTGAACTTGAGAACCCAAAAGTTCAGAAAGACAAAAGAAGACTCACACACACTTTCCCACACTGGATTGGCATGTTATTTAAAATATAATGCCTCAAACGTGTTCTCTAAGAAGTGAGAATTTTTCCCATTTGAGAAACTGTAGCACAAAATGGCAGACTCTGCTAGATACGCATTATATAAAAATGGATTAAAAACCCGTGCCAAACTTTGTTGACTTCTAATGGGAGGCAGTAGATGTGAGGAGCAGTGGCCTGCAGGTGGGCTGGGGAACAGGCGAGTGGAGGGGACAGGAGGAGAGTTGGGAGGGAGAACTGTGGTTGGAATGTAAAAGGAAATTTAAAGGAAATTTTTAAAAGCCATGATGAAGACATACCACGTTTTCAAGTTGCTGTACCTTTAAGATCTATGCATATTTTGTACACTGTGATAGAAAAAAAAAGCAAAAGCAGATGCCAGAGGAGTGAAAGTGGCTGAAACAGCATTCTGCTCCTCACGTCAGTACGCATAGAATTCATGAATTCTTGCAATATGAAAACCATGAGGATTATGCCCAAGCTTGCTTCAGGGTAAACCTGATTGCTGTTTTGGCTGACTGTCAACTGTAATATGCTATTCTTAGTGATTCTGGGACAAGCTTCCAGTCCATGTCAGTCACGCTATCTTTTCCCTTCTTCAAACACATTGTAAACACCATTTACCTCGGGAAAATGTCATGACTAACTGGGAAAGAGTGGCAGCCATGGTCTTCCTAGGGGCCTAGCTTTCCCGCTTCACACAGGTCATGTTTAGTTATTATTCACACACAGTCTTCTCTCTGCAAAAGACAACAGTGGTCTGGACGTATATAAGCACAATGAAGTGAGGGAATGGTCAGGCTTTTAGCTTTTGAAAAGCCCGTCTCATGTGGATAAGCACATTGACTTCTATCCTCTTCTGCACTGAATTCAACACATCTCTGAGACAGGTGGTGGGGCGGTCACAGTTTTACAATATTTTTCTCTTTTTTAAGAAAATGCAACTCATTTATAGAAAAATGCATGGGCCTAAGGCCTAAAGCTAAGCATGAAATATGTACTTTACTGTGTAGTCCAGATCAAACGTCTGATCAGAGGAAACCCTGTGTCTAAAGGTGGCTATGCCCCCTCCAGGAAGAACAGAGGAGGAAATGAACCAGTGGGAAGTTGCCTGAGATGTCACAGCTGTCTCTGTGTCTTCCTCTCTGCCTTAAGAAGCTGGAGCTGCATAGCTGGCTTTTAAAATTTTGATTTTGTAGCTTTTTTCCCCCCTTAAGTTGGCAGGTTGCTGGTTTAATAATACTAAATTAGTTAATTCATTCCTTTGAATTAAAAAATGCAAATCAAATTTGCAGAGGAATTGAGGCTCGTTATAAGCCTGATAGAAAATTCTAGAATGAAAGCTGTTTGTTCTCAAGAAGCTGAGCAATTCCAAACAGCACTCCCTTTAGTGAGAATTTTCCAGGGTGTACATGCCTTCTATTGGGAGATGAGACAGAGCATGTGTCAGTATACAGCTCTGGGTTGTAGGTCAAAGACATGAATATTGGGAGACAAGAGGGAATTCCATTTAGGAGTAGCATAAAGTTCTTTATGTTCCTCTTGAAGGGTAGACCATGGCAAGGTAAGGGAAAGGATAAATGGTATCAGAAATTGTGCACAGAATAAGTGGTGCACACACGTGAAATTCCCTGTTAGTATAATGGAAAGCTTGGACAGAACAATTTGCAAAACTGCATAGACAGTAAGACACTCAATTGTACATAGGTATATATTTATTATAAGTGTATTTAAGGGTACGTGGTTTAGGAACAGAAGGGTAGCCTTACTCATCAATGTCACATATAACTCTTTCCATAACAATGTACATTTCTGTGAAAATTCCAAATGAGTAGTTTCTGTTTTATAGAGGTGACTTTAATGGTTATTGCCATTTGAATCACAGGAGTGTACAACAAAGAGTCATTATCATCCCTCTAGAATGTAGCTATGTGGAGCCCAGATAAATGAAGATCCAAACTTTGGATCTTCCAACTTTTCAATGACACAAATGACACCTGCCTCATAGCCTTATGATTCATACCAGAGTCAATGGGGCTATAAAAATAAAATAGTAATGAAGTATACAAAGTAATGGGCAGCAACTATTTTTATTGTTTCCAATTGAAACTCGAAATGATTGTTTCCCCAGAGCCTGATTGCAGCCTATTTCTAGAACTCAGCGAAATGACCACAGTGTTATCTCACAAGAATTTGAAACCCAAGAGCATTGAGAAGATTAAAGTTTTTACTAAATGATCGAAGGGCAATTCAGATGAAGGAACATAAAAAGATGCATTGAGTCAGCAAAGATTTGTGTATCTAAAGCACTAATTTAGAGTCCCAATAGAAAGCAACTTGGTCAGAAAGAATGAAGAAGTTTGTTTTTGAAACCAGAGGAAGCAACTCTCTTAAGTGCTTGGAATAAAACCTTTTCTTGTTGATGATGCTGGGGGAATTACATGGTCACTAAACGTATGTAATCTAGTATATCATCCCACATTGCTCCATCCGTTTCTTCTCTGGTGTTCTCCCCTTTCCTTTCAACTTAGTTAAAAACATTTAAATATGTGCTTTTCTGGCTTGTTTTATTTATTTTTTTCAGTGCTGAGGATTGAAGGCAGGGCCCTGCACATCGTAAGCCACTGGTCCATTGAGCTGGACTCCCAGCCCCTTCACCTCCAGTGTCTCCAAACAGTCTTTGACATCTTGTCCTTCTTGAAACCTGAGCTTTGTACTAATAAGTACAAAGCCTTAACCTTCACCTAACTCTAAGAGACGAGGTTTGTGTTGACTGAACCCAATATGAAAGCTATGACAGAAATGACACTTGTCTTCTTGAACTGTACCATCTGGGCTTGGAAATAGGCCAAGTAGAATTTATTTGCCTTCATCTCCACCATGTCATGTAGTAAATGGTTTCTAAAATTTGAGCATTTTATGCAGGGAATAATTATGCATGCCTCCAATTCCATCGTACAGGACGCAAAGGCAAGCAGGTGTCTGTGATTTCAAGGTCAGCCTGGTCAACATAGGGAGTTCTATGCCATCCAGAGTTACATAGTGAGACTCTGTCTTCCAAAAAAAAAACAAAGCAAAAATAAATTTTGAGTAGTTCACATTTAGGCATTGAAGTACAATTTGCATTCATAAGCAATGCGTGATGAGGAAAGATCTTCCAATATATAATTCGAAAATGGGTGGGAGCAAATTCTCAAGCTTGATAGAAAGCAAATGTTTGGGAGCATCA